TTTTTATGAGGAAATAATGTCCCTCAAAGAAGAAATCCAATCGTTACTGGACCCACACCGTAATTATTTTTTACTTGTATCTCATCAAGTCTTGAAAGATCGTGCACCAACGATCAAAAAAGCCATTTTTTATGAGGAAATAATGTCCCTCAAATAGGGACTAAAAGCTGAAAGAGATGTATCAATTTAATTGGGACGTTCCGGTGCATCTACTGATATAAACCACCAACACCTTTATTTAAAAATTTAAAATAAAAAAGAGTTATTGAGCTCTCCTTTAATTCCCAACCCAATGACTCTTTTCTTGAATATAGTCTAAGCACAGAGCCAAATCACATTTTTAGACGAGTCAGTTAAAAGCCCATTACGGGAATCAGGTCTTAGTGTGAGGGAGTTGATCGACTTCGATCCATCCATTTTAACATCTCTATATCCACACCACTATGGTGGTGATTTTTCCAACTTAAAAAATAATAATAATAACAAAAAAAATGGAAGAAATTTCCTTGAAATATAAAGCATGGTTGACAAATGCAACGAGGTTATTCATCGTTGCAGGATAGGAAAATTATTTGAACTCAGGGATCGATTATAATTAGTCTCTATAATAAATCATATTATGTCACGGCCGAAATATAGCACAATTTTGACTAACCAACTTGCTGTAATAGGTCACGATAAATACTCTTACTTAATTAGTAATTTACTGCCTCTAAATTGATCTTGTCAATTTTAAATAGGAATGATGGTTTCATTGTACAATTCAATAGTGACTTTTAAAAAATAATAATAATTAGTGTTAGTGTGACTCCACACTTATTTTAATTACACATGTACAGAAAAAATAATTTATTCACGATTTTCATAATTTTTTCTTACTTTTAATTCGGGTCTTACTTCTTAGTTAGATTAAAAGGTGGGGTTTTCCTTGACTCGCCTATATTAAGGAGCTATGAAGCCCTTCCCTACTTGATTCCTAAAGTGACTTCGGTTCGCCAGTTCAGACTCAACTCCTCGCTTTAACGTTAGCGGACCTATTGGTTGGATCGAGCTCATACATTCTTTAAAAAAAATCTCTTTTTAAAAGATCACTTCCACACAGTCACTTGATGAATATCAATGTCACTAAGCAGAAGAGATAAGACTTATCTCGTGGTTATCAATTTAAATGACATGATTATGATTAACAAAATAATTAATGTTGCGGCTAAAATAAAATAAAATAAAAAAGCAACATCTTATATCATCAATGTAAAGTCGCCGCAATGGATTTCGATATACTAATGTCACTTCAAATTTAAATTATCAAAAAAAGGTCAAATAAATAAAGTAATGAAAACATAAAATTAAATAATAATTGAACGTTCCATTTGGGAAAAAAAATAAAAAAAAAATTATTAGTCGGTGATGATAAAAAAAAAAAATAGAAAGATATTTTGATTTATATGTTATTATATTATACAAATGTAGAAAAATAAAATTTTATGAATGACACTTGTTCACCCCAAAAAGTCGTGCCAACAGATGTCACTCCTAGATAACATACACGTGGATAGATTCCACACGACGTTGATTGTAAGCTCAATCGGATATTCGGTTATTAACTAAATATACTCAAGCGTATAAATGGAATGTGTATTATTGAAAATGAAAATGTATGTGAAGAAGGGAATATGCAAGGAACAAGTATTTATAGAAAGAAAACCATAATACTCCATTTTTACATATTAAGATCCATCCCTTTAAAATGTTACAAAGACTGTTGTTTATAGTGACCAGGCCGACATGATCTTCGTTGGATCAAATCCACGTGGCCTTAACTGCTAGATCTGGGTGTCATGTCATCTTATCTCACATTAATTACATTAACAAACATTTGACAAGAGGTCGACAACCCTACACTAGGCTGATATTTCTAACATCTACTTAATAAAGACGTCACATCAATTATTCTTAAACATGCACTTATCAGACCTACTTTCAGACATCAGATGTGAAGTAGTTCGGCTGAAGGGAGAAAAGCACTTCAACTAAACGATGAGAGCACTTCAGCAGTAGGGTCTCGGCCAATTTTGTAATCTTTTTAATGATTAAGAAAAGTTCAAACTTTATTTTAACAATGTTGTTATTTACCTTTTCATGTACAAACACTTCATTTTCATATTCAACTTGTGCTTTGTTTGTACTTGCCATTAATTTTTTACACAAGTGTTAGTAGTTCGGTCATTTTTATTTGCTTTCATTCGTGCGAGGTCGAGTGACTTAATCACGCGTAATTCGTTTCGTAGTTATTCACTCAATGCTTCATCTATTTACAAGGTGGTCCACTCTAGGATCCAGTTCGTAATTTTTAGCATGCTTTATAAAAAGATAAAACATTACTTTGAAACTAAAGACATTAAGGTAAGGCCAAACTCATCGCATCAGTAAACAATCATTACAAGGTCATGTCTACAACATCCATTGATAATATTTTCCCATATATTCTGCGTTCCATGGATGAGGTTGTGTCTTTCCATCCATTCCTTCTATTTGGTAGGCCCCTGGCCAAAGTTCTTCTTTTATATGATATGGACCCTCCTAGTACGGTCCAAGAGTTCCTACCCCAAGTTCCTTTGTAAACAAGAACACTCTTCGGAAGACAAGGTCATTCACACGGAGTGCTTTTTTCTTGACTTTTAAGTTGTGATATCTCGTCATTTTCCTTTGACACACAGCCAACTTGAACTGAGATTCGTTTATTCTTTCTTCAAGGAAATACAATTCACATCTTCTCAATTTTATGCTTGATACTTCGTTAAAGCGCAGATGGTGGGGTGATGGCACACCTACTTCAATAGGGTTCATTACCTCTGCCTCATAGGTCATAGAAAACAGGGTTTGGACAGTGGTTGTTTAGCTTATCGTTCTGATGCCCATAAGACCTAAGGCAGTTCGTCAACTCTAACACTTTTTGAGGCATCACTTGCCCATTCACTTGTGGATGATGTAGAGAAGAAAAATGCTTCTTGATCCCCAAATCTTCGCATAGGTCCTTAACTTTTATATTGTCGAATTGATGTCCATTGTCTAAAACAGTGGAGTTGGGAATACCGAACCTGCATATGCTGTATTTCTACAAAAAATTTTGATGTGTTCGCTGCAGTTATTTTGGCCAATAGCTTGACTTCAACCTATTTAACAAACAAATCAATTGTAACAATTGCAAAACAAGCATCGTTCCTCGTCTTGGGCATTGGTCCAATGAGATCGATTCCCCATTTAGCAAACGACCATGGGCTAGAAACAATACTAAGCTCCTGGAAGGGTTGTCTATGAATCATGGCAAAATGCTAGCACTTGTCGTACTTTTTAGCGAACTATTGGGTGTCCTTTTTTAAGGTCAGCCAGTAGTATCTTTGCCTTAGAACCTTTTATGCTAAAGCTCATCCTCCTGAGTGGTTACCACATACCCCTTCGTGTATCTCCCGAAGTACATAAGTGGCTTCCACTCTACCTATGCACCGAAGTAGGGTCATAGAGAAACCTCACTTGTAGAGTATATCATCTTGAAGGATAAAGTAGGCAGCTCCTCTTCTTAACCTCTGTGCCTCCTCTTTGTCAAAGGGCGGTATATGGCTTTGTAAGAACGCAATGAAGGGTCTCATCCATGAGGGGGTATTCTACCCACATCATCTCTTCGTTTTTAGATATTAAAGGCCTCGGAAGATGTTCTATGGGACTAAAGTGAGTAGCTCAGAGTCCTTTCTGCTTGCCATTTTCGAAAGGATGTCAGCATGGGAATTTTTACGACGTGGGATCCGCACCAATTCAAACCTTTTGAAAGTTGGGAGAAACTCTATGACCAACGTCAAATATGCATCTATGCCCCAATCCTTGGCTATGAAGCTGCCATTTACCTGGCTAACAACCAGCTAGGAATCGCAGCTAGTGTGTAGCCTCTTAACTTGTATCTCTTTGGCTAATCGAGGCTAGCTAAGAGGGCTTTATATTCGGCCACGTTATTCGTTGCCTTGAACTCAAACCTTACTGCGCAATTGAGCTTGTGTCCTTCCGGACTGACCAACACTATCCTTGCCCTAGATTTGGCTTCTCCAGAGGGGCCATCAACAAACAGATTCCACGTTGGGAGATCAGCAGGTTCTATTTCAGTTTCCATTTCTAGAACGGAGAGTAAACTCAGTTACAAAATTTGCCAATGCTTGCCCCTTGACAGCTATCCTTGTTTTCAAAGTAATATCAAACCCATTGAGCTCTACAGCCCATTTGAATACTCCCCAAAGTGTTAGGTCTCTAAAGCACTTACTTCAAAGGAAAGTTGGTTAGTACCTTAATAGCGTGTACTTGAAAAAAGGGCCTCAGTTTACACGAGGTCGTGATGAGGACAAAAGCAAGCTTCCCCATGTCAGGGTAACTAGTCTTGGCTACTAACAGAGCTTTGCTTATATAATATACTGGTAGTTAACGACCCTCTTCCTTCCTTATGAGCATCGAGCTGATCACCTTGGTAGTTACAGCAAGGTATAATAGCAAATATTCACAACCTTTGGGCTTCAAAATGAGAAGAGCTTGTCCTAAGTGCTTTTTCAATGTTTGGAGGGCTTCTTCGCATTCTACTGTCCATTGGAATCTGTTCTTACCTTTTAGTACTTTAAAAAATGTAATATACTTATCCATCGCTTTTGACACAAAGCAACTTAATGCGATTATGCGGCCCGTGAGGGTATGCATTTCCTTGGGCTTTTGAGCTGATCTCATTTCAATTATAACTTTAATCTTATCTCGGTTAGCTTCAATGCCTCTTCGGTTCACAATATATCTTAAAACTTTCCCGAGGCTATCCTAAAGGCACATTTTAGGGGGTTCAACTGCATTCTATACCTTAGAAGTGTCTGGAAGACCTCCTCCAGGTGTCGGATGTGATCATCTATTTCCAAACTTTTTACCAGCATGTCATCCACATATACCATTACCATTTTTCGATAAGATCAGTAAACATCTTATTGACCGAGTTTCGATAGATGGCCTGGGCATTTTTCAACCTGAAGGGTATCACTTTGTAACAATATAAGCTTGGTCAATAATAAAATATGTATGTTCTTTATCTGCAAAATATATTGGAATTTGATCGTTTTAGGATTTAGGGCTCTCTTCTTTTGCTTGTGAGAATTGGCCTTAGGATTAATATTCAAATGGTGACAACTGACATTCAGATCGATTCCCACCATATCTTCATGTTTTTAAGCAAAAATGTCTAAGTTGCTATGCAAGAAGCCTTTCAGCTTCTCTTTTAGCATTGAGGGCAGGTTCTTGCTGACCTACAAGGATTTTGGTGGATCTTGAGGATCAAATATAAGCTTTCCAGCTCTTTGACTGGAGCTGTCTGAGGCTCACAATCGACTAACGAGGGTTAGCTGGTCAAAACTAATAGCTTATTCAGCTGCTCTCCCTTCTTCAGGGTTTGACTATATCTCCATTACAGCCTCTTCTTTAGAGGCGTCGTACCCTTGTTTAAGGTCTTCAATCTCGTCAATGTCCATTAATATAACATTCATACTCCTTGATTCAACCTTTCGTATGGAATTTGAATAACATTTCCTAGCATTTCTTTGGTCGCCCCTGATCGTAGCGATACCATTCTTTGTTGGGAACTTTATACATAGGTTGTAGATAGAAGTAACTACCCATAATTCTTTCAGATTGGGCCTTCCAAATACCCCATAGTAAGCGGAGCGATAATCTACTACTAGAAATTCCATGAAGTGGTGGGCCGTCAAAGGTGCCATCCCTATCTCCATTGCTATAGTGATTTTAACTCGTGAAATGATGTTATCACTCGTGAATTCGTATAGGGGTGAGGTAATTGGGGTTAGCTCATGGTCAACCTCCATTTTGTCAAAAGTAGCTCTATATATGATGTTGATTGAACTCCCGTTGTCTACCAGCATTTTCTCTAGACCATTTATGGCCACCACTGTTCTCATAACTAGAGTATCACATTAAGGATAATGTACCATTACAGCGTCATTCTGGGTGAATGTAATGGGTTGAACTCCCCTGTGATTGGAAGCTTGGCTACTGCTAACTATGAATTTCACCATTGAGGGATCCTTAGCTTCCCTTTCATAGTTTCTTTAGGTATTTCTAGTCTCTTTCCCCACATATAGACCTTCAAATATTGTATCAATTTCTTGGATGGGCTTACACCCAGTATTGGGTAAGGGACTTCTCTGGTGTCTTCGACCTTCTTCAGGCTTTGCACGATCTTCCCATACCTGCGTGAGTAATCCCTATTTTGGCGATGGTCTCCTTCATTCCTTTGTTGCCAACCCTATCGAGGGGTCTCATCCCTCTAGGAACGATCATTTCCCCTTTGGTTGTTTGGGTGTTTTGCTATGTCCCAGCATCCAGCCGTGCTGTGACTATAGAAATGGTGGTATGTGCAATAAGGAAGTGCTTCATCCCTATTTCTAAGTCATGCACCTTGTCCTTTGCCCCTTCTTCCGCGAGCTAGTTGCTGAGGTGGTCTTTCCCGATATACCTCGGCATTAGGATTTATTTCTTTGTACGCCAAAGTTAGAACTACATTAAGTGTTGCTACGGCTAACGCTTGCCCAGGATTGAGGGGATTTGACTGTCTGACCAGTTGGTCTATCCAGTGAAACGTAGGGCCTCTTCCTCTTTGCATTTGGAAAAGTGGGATACCTCGATTTGCTCTATTTCAGTGATCCCCCAATTCTTCATTGATGATCTCTCGCCTAATCATTTCCAGCAGTTAATTCATATCCAAGCCTCTCTTTAGGGCAGTTAATGATTCCCTGTCCGTGACTTGTACGCAATAGGTCATTTTGTCTGTGAAGCGGGTTAAAAATATTTTCAACGATTCCATGAGTTGTTGCCTCATATCTTGTAGGCGTTGTATAGGCCCTTCACCCTCTTTGCTAATAGCGAAATACTTAAGAAAAGTCTTAAAATCAGGCCAGCTTTGAATGCTTCCTACTTGGAGTCTAGTGTACCAAGCTTTTGTCGCTCCACTGAGGGTCAGATGGGAGGCTCTAAACTACATGGTGTAGCATCTCTTAAGCCCATGTGGGTTTTAAAGCCATTAAGGTATTTTATGGGATCTTCTCTTCCATCGTACTTGGGTATTTTAGGCAGTATGAAGTGGTTAAGGACTGGGGCGTTTCTAGTTTTCTGGGAAAACAACAGATTGTCATCATTGTCATCGAGGTCGCAAACCTCTGAAGTTCTTCAGAATCACCTCCTTCCCCAACTAGAGTCTATTGAGGCAATTGAGACAGCCCTGCTCAATTTCTTGCTCATCTCTCATTTCTCCCTATTTTCAAGTGGGGGGTTGACATTGCTATGCAGTTTCATCTTTTATTCCAAGTCGAAGTTCCACGTGCTACCTATTTCTAGGCGGATGAGGACTTCGGGCTTGCCTATTCCCAGGCTACCCTGGACTTATTAAAAATGTTTATTGACTTCCTTGGTGTATCCTATGGGTCAAATTCAGGTGGGAAACTGAGTAGGACCTCATGATACTGATAAGTGGCATTATTTGTCGATGTGTCTACACCCATTTTTCTTTCTTGGGGGTCTTCTTCTTCTAGATATCGTTGGTATCCTGCCATTTGACTTTGGATCTCGTCCTCATCATTATAATAATTGCCTCGAAAGAATGTATTCTCTTGAGGGGCATACGGAAGAGCCCAGTATCCTCCATGGTTCTACATATTCCTTAGTAATTCTTGCATGGCAATAGGTTATATTCCTCATATTTTCAACCATTGTAGCCACCTCTCTGGAGATCCTAGCAGCCAGTCCAGAACCTCCTCGTGACCCACCTTGTCTACCTGGCGGGTGGAATCTATGACGAGATGTTGGGACAGTATGTGAGGGTACCCTTTCTTCATAATGTTCCCTAGTCCTTCGAGGCGCAGATTCTTCTTTACTAGTACTCACGTTACTCCCAGAATATCCTTTTACAGTAATCGATGCTCTCTTTCTTTCAAGGGGTAGAAATAACATCCCCAACAAGCTGTTCTCCTTTTAGTAATCCTTTCTTCAAGGATACCTCTTTTTGTTCAAAGGCACATGTTTCTTCATGGGATCTTTGCGGTTAACTGTCTCGAATTCTCACAGACGGCGCCAATCTGTTAACTCCAAAAATTCTGCCAATAGGTGTCACTCCTAAATAACGTACACATGGACAGATTCCACACAACGTTAATTGTAAGCTCAATCGGATATTCGGTTATTAACTAAATATACTCAAGCACATAAACAGAATGTGTATTATAGAAAATGAAAATGTACGTGAAGAAGAGATGTGCAAGAAACAAGTATTTATAGAAAGAAAACCACAATACTCTGTTTCTATATATCAAGATTCTTCCTTTTAAAATGTTACAAAGCTATTTATAGCAACTAGGCCGACGTGGTCACCGTTGAATCAGATCTACGTGGCCTCATCTGCTAGACCTCGGTGTCATGTCATCCTATCTTATATTTATATTAATTACATTGACAGACATTTGACAAGAGGTCAACCGACCCTACACTTCTAGGCTAATATTATTGGCATCTCTTAATGAGGACATCACATTAGTCATTCCTAAAGATACACTTACTTTTGAGAGCCATGGACATTGGATGTGAAGGAGTTCGACAAAATAGAGAAAAGCTCTTCGGCTAAACGATGAGAGCACTTCAGCAATAGGGCCTCGGCCAATATCCTTTCCTTTATTCTTGATTGAATGCCATGTGCGTGCACACGGTGCTTCCACGTGGCCCTATTGGAAGTGTAACATATGGTCAATAACAACACCAATGGACTGAAGCGATGTCGTTGTTCACTGAAAGTTTGTCAATGATTACCAATGGAATCATTATTCATAATTCTATCTGAATCACCAACATATGTTGATTTCAATCAAAAAAATTTGCAAGCACACCATCGATGATTTCTAACATTATAACGACTTTTTCGTGGATTACTTATCGTTTATAAAGGTATGTCGCAATCACTAATAAATTACTTTGTTTATAGTTCCTTCTAAATCACTATGAGATATTGATTTCAATCAGAAACGGAATGCACTAAACATAATCCTTATTCTGTAAACAAAATGATGTCTAATAAGTATTGTTTTTCCCTTATTTAGTGCCTTTAAATTTATAGTCTTACGTCAAATAGTCGTTGTTTGGTCTAATTTGCGTTAATTTTATTTTCTTTGTACGATGGACTAAAGAAGGGACGTGTTGGAGCCAATTTGAGCTCAATTGAATGGATGGAGAACTTAATTGGGAGTTGAATAAAGTTCGACACTAACTTAAAAATGAAAGAACTTTGAGGACTTAGATTGCTTAAAAATCAAAACGGCCTAGTTGCAATTGATACAATATTTAAGATATTTTTGGACAATAAATTGAAAGAAAAATACAGTGCAAGGAACTAAGGCTTGAGGAATTCATTGAAGAAGTAGATTTCAACCTTGGTGCAAGATAATTATTCTTCTCTTTTTTTCTTCATAAACCCTTGATGTATTTCAACAATTTGTTTTTCCCCCCTTTAAATTAATTTCTTAGTTGGGGCAAATGATGTATTTTTAATTTGAACATTTGATTTGTGATTATTAAAGAGTTGAGGTTTATCGATATTCTGTATTATTTTAATCATTGTGATTGCAATTATTTACCTAATTAATAGCTAATTCAGATGTGAATGGTAATGAATCGAGATGTGAGTCATTTAGATCAAATAGTAAAATTGATAAGAATATACTTTTAGTACTATTTTGGCCGTCAATAAATGGTGGATTAATGAATTTAATTTGGTTGAAATTTATATACATATATAATGGACTTGCATAATTAAGTAAAATTAAATTTTATCGATAGATTTTATCAATTAAATTTACAAGTTCGACAAAATACATATGTTAATTATTTTTCACGATTTGTAGGATAAAATCAAGGAGGATGATTAAGGTGAAATTAAAATTTCTAACACTTTTTCCCGTCGAATTAATTCTTAAAAACCAACAATTTCATCACAAACACTTATATTTGTTTTCTTAGTTTATAAATCAATAGAATAACTAACATCATTCTTTTCAAATTTGATTTATTAAAATGAATAATTTAAAAGAATAATCTTCATGGGACAATAATATGAACTCCTACGATCTACTCTAATATGAATTTGACGATATCTTAATAAGAATAATCCACAAAGAATCTAGAACAACACCTGACAAATGGTGCCAAGAAGAAATAGAACTAGCAATACCAATGCATTCTGCTCCGGTGCCTACAAATACGAGTCCCAAATATATTTTCAATGAATGTAAGAAATTCATATTACTTTTTTTTCTATTGTGGATTGTAATCTAAACTTACATTTTAATCTTTAGGAGCTGCTGTGAAGACACAGGCCATTCGTTAGTCCTAAGAATGACAATGAACCGATTTATCGACAAAAAAAGAAAATGATAATAACAAGATAATAATGTTGAGAACGAAATAAAAGTAGTCACGTGAATAAATGTGGGGGATTGTTTGTGAATCCATCGTCATTTGCTTTTTCTTGAGTGTACAACGATTTTCAACCCTTGAGATTCACAACCCAACGTAACATCTACTTTCATAAACTAATTTAAGCTCTGCTTCGAAATGGAATTATGATTCTTTTTTCATAATCTCGAAGCTGGAACTCCTTCTTCTTGAACCAGGCGACACCCCGATTCCATGTTTAAGAGGATTCCTCCGGTATTGCAAACAATTGTACAATCATAATTCAACAAAAAAGATGACTTTAAGTCGAATCGATGAATCCATCAATTGGGAATCAACGGCATGACAAAAGTAAGAAGTTGGAATCAATATGGTAAAAAAATAGCAATAGATTGAGGGAAAAAAGTACATAGATTTAAGTCTAATGATGCAATTTAGTTCACCATGGAAGGCATAGCTTATTGAT